GACTTTCCCAGGGATACTTTGACTGATATTGGGGGAAAAGGTGAGCAGAGCAGAGAAGGGATGCTTGCAAGAAGTACCTGTGCTATTGATGTAATACAGTGGGTTTTATCTTACCCCTCCCCTCTCTTAAAAAGCCCATCCTTTGAAGATCGAAAACGTTTGGGTATGGCCCAGCATAAGAAAGGAGGAAACTTCAAATCCAAGTCCAGGTATAGATCCTTTTACCTTCTTATTCCAAGACTTTTTTTCTGTTCCTGCTTTTTCTTTCCCCCTCTTGTGATTGTTTAAAGGTCCTTACTAAAAAGTGAGTTAGTTCTGCAGTAGCTTACACTCCTAGTGCAGTTCTGATGCTGCAGGCAATCGAGGATACTGCCTTTAATAGGACATTCCTGGGCTTCTGCTGGGAGAGCATTGCCTAGAAAATGCTCAGTGCTGTTCCTTACCTATCACTGAAGTAACACTGCACCATCTCAACTCTCAAATGCCTTCTCTTTCAGGTACAAGAGAAAGTGAGAACTGTTGGTAATGATGAGATGGGTAATTTCACACGCTTGCTTCAGGGCCTGGATTTCTTTGTACTGGGAGATAACTTCAGTAAAATCTAAAGTTTTTCTCCCAAGTTATGGAATAGCTTTGAGATGTTTGATAATACCTGGTTGAAGACTATGTGAAAATCTCTTTAGCATCCCATGCAATAAAGGATTGATTTATTTTTCTCAAAAGTTTGCTCTGTTTTATAGACTAGCTAGAACTGAGAGCTGGAATATGTTACATCTTTCTATCAGGCAGTTCATGTAAGTCATCTTTAGAGCAAAAACTGGCAAACACTTCCTGCTTTGTTCATACACTTCTGTGATCTCGATTAATTAATATGGCTGAAAAGGATTTCTATGGTTCAGAGCCTATTTCTAAAATAGGGAAAAAAAGTTTTTCAGACTGACTGTCACAAAAATGGCTTCAGAGGTGACAGTCACAGGAATTAAAACAAGTCTCCAGGAGGCCAGTACCTGAAGAAAGGTGAGTGGTGGGCAGAGGGCCTCTTCCTAAAGGCAAAGAGCAGCCGTAAGCCAGGGCCAGAGGGGAAGGTGCTCGGGCTGGTTCTTCACTAGAAGCAGAGCAGCCCCACCTGTAACCGTGCTGCAGGCTCATAAGCTGCAGCTCAGTGCGGAGAGTCAGAGATGTCTGTTCCTAAGACAGGCACCACTGTACCTCTGCTGCTGGGACTGAAGCAGGGAGAAGTCTGATCAGTAACCCATACTTAATTTCATCGAAACGTTAAACTCTTTCTTTGAATTTTTACCACCTCCACCATCCCACCAATTTTTTTTTCTCATCATCAGCCTTGCTAAATTTCATTGATATGCTTCAATTCCTATAAGGAACTCAGACTAAATATAGATCTAAGTGGCCTAGAGCAACTGTTTACTTCTGAGCTGTCAATACAAATGAGCTTTTTGCTTCAAACCTGCTCTTCTGGGGTGACGCAAGTGCAGTAGGTGAAAGACAATGGCTTGCACTCCTGAAACAGGCCAGGACAGCCGAGACTCAAAAGTCCTGGGTTTTCCAACTTTATTAAAAAGGGCACAACTTTATAAGCAGTAAATAGAAAATAGGCATAGCAAGGTTCTGACAGGTGGTACTGCTCAGTATATTCCCTTCATCAGTCTTCTCACGGTTCAAAGATACATTACAGAGTATCTTACGGCCTTGGTGGGCGCATACCGGGTGGAGGCGGTCCTGGGAATAAAGGAAAGAGTCGAATATTGAAGAGGAAGAAGCAGCAAGGCTAAACACCAGAGAGATGTTTTCCCTGTGCTCCAAGTGGCCTTAGGACCCTGGTTTTGGGACTGAGGCATTCACTGACAATTAGCAGAGCTAGGGAGGCACTGAAACGTGTCACCCTTCTGACAGTCCGTGTACATTACAGCTTCTTCCGAGCATTTAAGAAAACCTCTGCTCACCTCTCATTCCGGGGGGGGGTGGTCTCATGCCTGGTGGGGGCATTCCCATCGGAGCACCTCGGCCGGGGGGCATTCCCATGGGGGGGCCCATCGGGGGTCGCATGCCTGGAGGGGGTCCCATCATTCCTTAAGCCAGAGAAAAAACAAGCATGTAAATCCAGCTGGAGAGTTGAGGTGCTAGTGGGACATGGGAACGATCCTCTGTAACACCAGCTCTGCCTCAGACTGGGTAAGGACCTCTCTCACAGCTCTGCCTCCTGAGAGGAGCTCCCCCTGCCCCCTCCGCAGAGGCTCCTACCTGGGGGAGGTGCCCCTCTGCTCATGGGCGGGGGAGGACCCCCCCGCCCCGGCGTGTACTGGGTTGGGGCTCCCGCTATGCTGGCGGTGGCTGCTGCCGCAGCTGCTGCGACCGTGCCACGGCCCTGAGGTGTCATCACCTGTAAACAAAACATACGGGGGCAGAGAAACAGCACGTCATCTGCTTTAAGTTAATAACTAAAAAATAGGCAAGATCTAAGTTCTTATCCCTTCAGAAAGTTACATCAGCCCCTCTTAATGTACTGAATAACACTACAAACCTGTAATACAATTCAATGGATACCATTTGAATTCTGGGCAAGAAGCTGCACTTCTCATGCCTTTTTCCATCATGTAAGACAGAGTTTCCTAGGGGGATCTAGTGCCAAAAAAGCCTCGCTAGGCTCAAATTCTCTGGTAACCAAAACTAAGATCACAGTCCTTCCACTCCACCCAATTTCTTGCATCAGGCTGGTACCAAGAATTAAAAGCCACTCCAGAATACACCAGACAATTCTTCAATGGGTCACAGCATCTCACCTGTTGGGATGGTCCTCCCACTCCTCTGACAGGGCCAGCTAATCCCGCTGGAGCCTGCGGCATGGGCGCACCAGCGGGTACTCCCCTCCCTGCAGCTCTCCCAACTCCAGGTCCTCCAGCAGCTCCAGCAAGAGGTACACGGGCAATTCCAGTCTGAAAAGAGACCCCCCAAAAAAGAAATATTTGTCAAAACAGAAGTCCTCAGATCCTAGGGACGCCCACAGGTCTCCATTGTCCAATTAATGTCCAAACCCACAGAGAGATCAGAACCCCCTGCAGTGAAATTCGTTGGACCTAGTCACAACAGCATCTGGAAGTCCAGGGCAATCTGAAGGAAGCAAGTTTATCAGACATTCCTTCCCCTTCTCCTCAGTTCTGCACTCATTCTCCTTACATCTTTTGGAGGTGGTCCTTCAACTGTCATGGACACCAGGTTTTCTCCTCGCAGCAACACAAGACCAAGGACTCGTTTCTCTTCCCGCTCTGGCTGTTTTGAATTTTTAGGTCTAGTGAGAAGAGAAAAAAAACATTGCAAGACAGAGGGGAGAAAAAGAAATCAATGCTGCTCTGAATTTGCCGTAGAATACATGACTAGGGTACTCCAGAGAGGAGAACCTACCGTAAAAACCACATTTTCATATGTCTCAAACCAGGTACTTAGAGAATCTAAATACGAGATGTGTATTATCTCCATGTTTTCCCCATAACACTTAACTGTTACAGTGACTATGTTGGTGTCACGTAAAGGTGCATTTTGGTTATTAGGGACAAACTCGAACGAAGGGCCCCTTGAACCCTGGTAGTTTGGCAGGTTAACAAACGAGACTAAACCCACGCCTATTCCTGCAGAAGCCGGCAGCAGGCAATGCCCAGCGGCTGCGCCGGCTCTCCGCTCGGCCTGCCCCGGGGCTCCCACCGCAGCGGGGCCAGCGCTGGGGAGCACGTCCCGGCGCTCCCGCCGCGCCGCTCACTTGATCTTGCGGAACTCGTCGCAGTCGCAGAGGATGAGGTTCATGTGCTTGTCGAAGGCCTTGAAGGTGCCGATGAAGACGCGGCCGTCCTGCAGGATGCACCGCATGCGGTAGTCGATGTGTTGCAGCATCTTGCTGCTCTTCCCCACCGTCTGCAAGAGACCGCCGTTACACCGGGGCACCGCGGGGCCGCTCGCCGTGCCCCTCCCCTCC